TTGACGCAACATTATTATTGTATGTTGAATATTATTGTGTTGTATGTATTGTATCGTACACGTTGTATTGTACATGTTCTGCTGTATGTTGTATGTTATTATTGTGTTGTATGTATTGTATCGTACACATTGTATTGTACATGTTCTACAGCATGTTGTATGTTATTATTGTGTTGTATTTATTGTATCGTACACATTGTATTGTACATGTTCTGCTGTATGTTGTATGTTATTATTGTGTTGTATGTATTGTATCGTACACGTTGTATTGTACATGTTCTACAGCATGTTGTATGTTATTATTGTATTGTATCGTACACATTGTATTGTACATGTTCTACAGCATGTTGTATGTTATTATTGTGTTGTATATATTGCATCGTACACGTTGTATTGTAAATGTTCTGTTGTATGTTGAATATGCTTATTGTCTTGAATATATTATATTGTATATATTGTACTGTAAATGTTCTGTTGTATGTTGTATATTATTATTGTGTTGTATGTATTGTATTGTAAATGTTCTGTTGTATGTTGAATATTATTGTGTTGTATGTATTGTATCGTACACGTTGTATTGTACATGTTCTGCTGTATGTTGTATATTATTATTGTGTTGTATATATTGTATCGTACACGTTGTATTGTAAATGTTCTGTTGTATGTTGTATATTATTATTGTGTTGTATGTATTGTATTGTAAATGTTCTGTTGTATGTTGAATATTATTGTGTTGTATGTATTGTATCGTACACGTTGTATTGTACACGTTCTGTTGTATGTTGTATATTATTATTGTGTTGTATATATTGTATCGTACACGTTGTATTGTAAATGTTCTGCTTTATGTTGTGTATTATTATTGTGTTGTATGTATTGTATTGTAAATGTTCTGTTGTATGTTGAATATTATTGTGTTGTATATATTGTATCGTACACATTGTATTGTAAATGTTTTGCTGGTATGTTGTGTATTATTATTGTGTTGTATATATTGTATCGTACACGTTGTATTGTAAATGTTCTGCTCTATGTTGTATATTATTATTGTGTTGTATATATTGTATCGTACACGTTGTATTGTAAATGTTCTGCTTTATGTTGTATATTATTATTGTGTTGTATATATTGTATCGTACACATTGTATTGTAAATGTTCTGCTTTATGTTGTGTATTATTATTGTGTTGTATATATTGTATCGTACACATTGTATTGTAAATGTTCTGCTTTATGTTGTGTATTATTATTGTGTTGTATATATTATATCGTACA